TCATAGTTCCTGGATTGGTACGCGTTAACATAAAAATCAGCGGGGAACGCTATGGCATTTAAAAGAAATGGAGAGTCATGCCACAATAGTTCGGTGGCTTGCCGTAAATTTTTATAACAGCTTGTAAGTTTATCATCAAGCTAGCCTTCGAGCTTCAAATTTTGTGTTCCGGGTGAACATTTTTTTCTGGCATCACCTCGTCTGTTCCTTAATTTGGACTTAGACTATAGATATAGTAATGTATACGAAATACCGTACATCACTTAAAAACTGCTTAAGTTTAGTTCTGATCATTATCAACCAAAGCTAGGATGACACAAAATAAATGGTATTTTTTCTTTTGCCAAATTAAAGTGATTTTTTTCAATAATGTGCACTAATGGCTTAATGACCTGAAGAATACGTATGATATATTTGAACTCTAGACAATTATAGACAAGACCAGGAAAAAGTGGGTAAAATAAATCCCCTAAACGTAAACTTGATGTTATGAGGATTTCTCCTGACTTAACATATTGATATTCAAACCAATGTTATCCTATAAACAACTATCTTAGCTACTGCTATGTAGAGCTGATGGGTGGGCATTTTACATGTACAGAGAAAAGCTCTCCTGAGTTTTCACTGAAACGGTCTCAAGAGCTTTCTTTTAACTAAAAGGGAGTCAAATATAAATGCGAATCTGTCATAGCTAGTCAGGATTGAACAGCATATGGAGCCTAGCTACATCGAGCGTGTAGAATAAGGCTAAATTCGGCCTCTTAGATCTACTCTGCATGAATTGCTGTTCTGATCCCATGAAATTTTTTTATATAAAAAACTAATCTAAAGCAACTTTGGTCCTGAGTTTTAAAGAATCTTCATTTTTCAAAATTATATATATTCCATCAAACCACCTTATTCCACTATCTTTTCAGGCGATGTTTGCCCTTTAGCGTCACTTATCGATGTGGCAGTAGCACATAACGCACTCTCTTTCGTCGATGAGGTGCATGCTGTCGGTCTCTATGGGAATCGTGGGGCCGGAGTATCTGAACGAGACAATGAGATGCATCGAATTGATGCAATCACTGGAACCTTGGGCAAGGTAGTTTGCATTCGTATCAATTCCTCCTATTAATTTCTCATTCAATAAACGATTTTAATTTAATAAAAGATATGAAGGTCAGGACCAAGTGGGCTGACCTCGTTTCCGCAACTTGGTCGTGCTTTCTGGGTGACTTAGTTGGACGCACCTTGTCCAAAGCCCTCTGCTATAGTAGTTATTATAATTCTCAGCATCGGACCTTGGACTTGGTACATTACCAGACGTTTCGCTGCATCTGCAGGGAGTCTTGTCATTCTCAGCACCGAGCTACAACTCGTCAGAGGCAAATAAAGTCAATCCCTTGGCCAACTTTCCGCCGATACAATTCTGCTATCACTCCTCTTTCTGTCCTGGCCCATCATCTACTCCCTGTCCTCCCGCAAAACGAGAGGAGGAAGCAGGGACAAGGTAAACAGCAGGTGTGATGACACCATATTAAACTTGCCAAAAAATGGCACACTTCTTTAAAAGTGTCAGAAGTTTTGATAGGGCGGGGGTCTGATAAGAGGGTAGGGAGTATATAGATGAGTCAGGACAGAAAGAGATGGAAAAGCACAACCGTTTCAGCATAAAGTTTGTCAAGAAATTGAATTTACTTTTTTCTTTTACGAGTTGCAACTTGGTGCTGAAAATAGCAAGACTCACTGACGATGTCGGCGGAACGTCTGAGGGCGTATCAAGTCCTCGGTCCGGTACTGGGAATTATGATAACTACTATAATAGAATACTTCGAACAAGGTGCATCCAACTAAGTCGCCCTGAAAAGACGACCAAGTTGCGAAAACGAGGTCAGCCCACATTTAAATTAGGGTCAATATAACTGATATACGCATAAAAGTCGATGTGTACGTCGGTCGTTTTGACATGGAATTACGACTTTTTCCTAAGGCGATAAACTTAAACTAAACTTAAACTTAGAGAAGTGGGTTGACCTCGTTGTCGCAACTTGGTCTTGTGTTCAGGGAGACTATGTAGAACGCAC